CTAATTTCTAGGCTTAATATTGACTTGTCAAAGAAGTCTTGCGGTATTTTTGCTGAATTTTCAATTTTTCATAAAAACTGCTCTTGACCGATGCTACGGCTGCTACTATCAATCAAACACGTGTTAGCGCGTGAAATGAGCTTTCCAAAAAGGTATAGCATGACTCGATGTGACGAATAAAACTAGAACTACGCGCTCTCAGTGCCAACTAGCGAAAATACCGCAAGACTTTTTTGACAAACTAATATAATTAAGTATCTATCATCAAAATATTGTTTAATTCACATTTCTTCTCTCACCAATATTACAAGAACTTTAATTTTATCTAAAATTGATTATGGTGTCCCTATCTACGGCAATTGTGCCAAAAGTAACATAAAGCAAATCTTTGCACCATATCATGCAGCCGTTAGAAGAAGTATTCGGGCATTCCAGACATCAYYARTAAAGTTCACATTAACGGAAGCCGGACTCCCATCCATCGAGGAAAGAGTTTTACATACTTCGCAAAAGCTTATTCCAAAACTACTATTGTGTAGTAACAAGCCCTTATATAGGGTGGCTGACGAAAGCCGCTACCAAAAGAAAATTAAATAACTTTTTTTCTATTTAATGAATCTGGTTAATTTTGCCGAGCATGGGACAGTCAACAGAAGACCTTATCATCGAAACCCTTCAGTTCGAACGGAGGAAACAATCGCTGCTGTAGCTGCTACCATACAAAACAATCCACGTGTTTCGACAAGAAGCTTATCTGCGCAAATGGGTGTAAGCATTCTCATTACAGTCAATTATGCACAAAGATTTGGACTTATTCCTATATAAAATTCAAATGGCCAACAAACTAAACGCTGCAGACTTGCCGTTTCGCTTGGTATTTTGCCAAAAGACGCTTCAAATGGTGGAAGAGGATGGAAACATGTTGAACTGTCTTGTCATGACGAGGCCCATTTCGATTTAAACGGCAACATAAACAAACAAAATTTAAATTGGGGCATTTAAATTCCATTAGTTTTAAAACTAATTAAACTATATTTAATAAAATTGAATGAGCTTTAACATGCATAAAAGAAAAATGAATTCCATACACTGAAAAAAAATAATTATTTGAGTTTGTTAATGTAGCAGAATTCATCAGCCACCCTGTATGGTATAGTAAAAGCCAAATGGACCGACGATACAAACTCCAATACTTCTTCCACTGTTTCTAAATGCATTAAATTAGCAAGGATCTAGGTATAACTACACCTGAGGAAAAGTCTATTTCTTTTGCCCCRTAATGGCTACTCAAAGAATCTCCGTTCGAGCTACATCTTCAAAAACGTCATAAAAATAATACCAAATCCAGGGTATATCAAAGTTTGTTCAAAGAGCTCATGGTGCAATACTACATAGATTGGCAACTCATTTTTACTGACGCTTCGAAGGCCGACTTCTACACGTCTTTTGCTACTGTTGATAACGTTGGAAATACGTTAAAAGCTGGACTCCTGCCCAATTACAGCTCAGTATACACCGCAGAAGCAGCAGCCATCTATAATGCGCTATCCWTAGTACAAAACTCTAACTTAAAAACATTAATATGTACTGCGCAAATTAGAAACATACTAATTGGGAAAATAAACATAAAAATTATGTGGATGCCTGGACACGCCGCTATTACTGGAAATGAATGGGCCGATCAAAACGCCAAATTGGCGGCAAAACAGCCATTGATTGTCTGCATCAAAAAAAACAAAACGACATAATCCATTTCATCGCTTCAAAACAAAGAGTTATAAGACTTAATGCTTGGAAGAATGTGCAACACCACTACGCCATCTGCAACCAATAGGGCAGAAAACCTGCTTATCCGCCATCAGGCCGTTGCCAAGATATAAAAGCCTTTGTYMGYCTTCGTCTTGGTCATACGTCATTAACGCATTCCCATTTATTAAATGGAAACCTTAATTCATCCTGTCTATATTGTAGTTCGTCCTCCTTAACTATAACACAACTACTGGCTGAATGCCCCTTCTTCAATTCAAAAGGACCAGTATATTTCAGAATAATAAAGCTCTTGATTTATTAAAAACAACGTCTATTGTAAACATCATTAAAATATCTGAATACCTATCTCGTCCAAAGTTAAAGAAATATATTTAAGTTATCCTTCCTATTTAAAATTTATTTTTAACATATATTTTTAGTTTATAGATGTGTATAAGAGACAGATACTATATATTTAAGAATACACACAGGAAATTTCATATCGTTCCAGTGAATATTTTCAAAGTTACCYGCAAATTTGAAAAGTCGTTTCAGAGTGCTTGGAAATGCAATGTCAAACTTTAGACGCGTTTTTCACAAAATGGTGTTTTCAAAGTCGGTGACCAACATTACCCGAAAATGGCTTAGTCTAAAATTTTAACACGAGCTTCTTAAATATAGTTTTTAGTAATTAAACGTAGATTTTTCCTCACCGATAAATATTTTTTTGTATAAACAATTTAAGGCTGAAATTTTGTTGACCGCCATTTTGTTAAAAACCCCATTAGGAACTTAATATAAATACATATGTATGTATATGTATATCAATGATCAGAATGACGGGAAAAGTTTAAAACCGGGAGACTGTCTGTCTGTCCGTCCGTCCGTTGAGGAAAAAATGAGGTATATTGATGAAACTTGGTATGCGAGTTCCTTGGTACAAAAAAAAATTACGAGTTCGCAGATGGGCGTAATCGGACCATTGCCAAACTCACAAAGCGCCATTAACCGGAAACCTGTTATAACCTGCTATAACTAAGCACTAAATTAAGATATAGAATAGTAATTTCGCACAGAGGATAGCGGTAGCAAGGGGCATCTGCAGGAAAAAAAATTTTAAAGGAGGCGTGGCCCTACTCTCTAATAAATTTAATATACATATCCCATAAACTGGTAAAGCTACAACAATCAAAGTTAACCAGCTAAAATATTATAACAACTTCTACCGATAGTGTGAAAATGGGTAAAATCGGATGAAACCCCCTTCCCTTCCCATATAACGATACTGTTAAAAGCTACTAAAAGCGCGATAAATCATTAACCAAAAGCGCCAGAGACGTAAAACTTTGCCTGCGGTATAGTATGACAAGGCTTTATGGGGGCCAGGGTAAAAATTAGACGATGGGAGTAGCACCGTCCACTTTTTGGTGAATTCCCCTATCTCGGGACTAGACTGGTCGATTTTGATAAAATTGGATACATGTCGTCTTTGCATATTTCTATGTCACCTTGTGAAAATGAGTGAAATCGGACAATAAACATGCCTACTTTCTGTATAGCTTTTAAGTTGCACTAGATCCTTTTTACTTTCCAGTACACAAATTAAAAAGCATCAAACATTTTTTCATTGTTTTACATTGTTTACAAGTGGTCTTGAACGATGCAACAAATCCTTTCGTTTACATGTTTTTTTGGTAAGATTTCAATCTGGCCATCGCTCGTTTCCAATTGCTAAACGTCAAAACCTCCTGAACTCGATCAACTGCCAAAGTTCAGGAGGTTTTGACATTTAGCAATTGTTCTCTCATTTCCAGTGAGAGAGGAGTTTGGCTTCTCTTTATCTCTGATTTGCACGTTTGCACACTGATCGATTCCATAGGTCAAAAATACATCGAGCTACAGAACTTAATCGAGCAGATACAATCTTCTACGAGTATAAGAGTGTACAGCTGCTGTTGTATGCTTATGATATTAATATCATTGGCTTTAACAACCGCGCCGTTAGTTCTGCTTTCTCCAGAATAGATAAGGCAGCGAAGCAAGAACGAGGGGAAGACGAAATATCTCCAGGAAGAAGCACTTGACCTCCATTCTATTTTAACGGGCAGGTGGAGAAGGTCTTAACTTCGCTTTTAGTCTCAAATTTTCGCCAGATTGCGAAAAGAAGAAACGACTTGCGCGCTGTTGTTAATTCGGCTATAACCGCGTAAGCGGTGTCTATGCCAGTAAAGAAGATATAATGAATAAGTCATAATGTTTTAGTTTTATGGGATTTACGTATGGCTTATAAAGTACGTTTTGAAATATCAGCATCCATAAATATGACTTTTTAATACGTACAGTTAATTAATTAAGTTTACATACGTCTAGTTCTATTATTCAATGACACTTTTGTTTGTTTTAAAATGAATATGTTTTGTGTTTTTTATATATACATATATTAAAAGATGTATATTTAACTTTAAATATAGCATACCAAAATTTATTTTTACAAAAATAAACGCCAAAGCTTAAAATGCCCCTAATTCATATCAAAAACGTGTACTATGTACACTAATGATTACTTATACAAATCAGAAGTAATTACAATAGTTTTTAATGTATTTTTTACATTTTTTCCGGATATTTTCACCCACTAAGTCGATAAAGCAATTCTTTTAATGTTTTCCAACACCTTCCAGATATGTTGAGTAGCATTAACGTCTAGCGATTGCGGGGCATATGAAGTTATTTTCAATTCTATAACAACCCTTATATACTATATAAGATACAATGTGTATCTTGAATCGTTATTCTGTTGGAAATTGATTTTGCCGCTATTAGCAGGCAATTTAAGAACACTTCGACGTAAAGCGTCGACAATACTTGCATCAATAGAAAGGTAAAAAAATAATAAATACATCTAAACCTATTACTTTTGATTTATATAAACAATCTTTAGTGTATGTACATTTTTTGATATGAACTAGGCGCATTGTAAGCTTTAGTATTATTTTTTTCATTTGGGTAAAAAAAAAATATTTTGATGTGCTATATTTAATGTTAAATATGCATATTTTGAAATAGATATAGAACAACACAAAATACTTAAAATATTATATTCACTTTAAAACAAATAAACGTGTCGTAAATGAATAGAACTAGGTGCATGTTAACTTTATTGATTCATTGTAAGTTGGCTGCCACATTTTAAAGCTAGTAGATTATTTACCACATGTACTACAAATATGAATTAAAACAGTCTTACTTACTTTGACAAAAGTGTCGTAGCTGAATGTTTCACTTGTCCTCAGGAGTCTTTGGATGGTGTTGTCAATGTAACGTCTAGTTAAGTTTATAAATTGCTCATTAGAATCATATAGGTTGAAATCCATGTTAAGATCCGATCCCTTAACCCACTCGTATTTTATGTGAGTTTGATCATATCGCCAAATAATTACTATAGGACACAGCCGGTCTGCTTCGGCTCCCTTGGAAATAGTGGTTATAAACTCCTTTTGTTTTTCCTATAAAATCAAAAAATATACAGACTTATTTTGATTAAATTAAAATAAATCGGATCAACGTATAAACATGGTTATAGTCTATGCACTTTTGTTTTGTCACATTTTCTGTGTCTAATTTTTTTTTTATTTTTTTTATTTTTTTTGTCATTATATGGTGCAGAGGCTTAGACGATGACAACAACTGATGAGTCGACGTTGCGAGTTTTCGAGAGAAAAGTTCTGCGAAAGATTTATGGTCCTTTGCGCGTTGRCCACGGCGAATATCGCATTCGATGGAACGATGAGCTGTACGAGATATACGACGACATTGACATAGTTCAGCGAATTMAAAGACAGCGGCTACGCTGGCTAGGTCATGTTGYCCGRATGGACRAAAACRCTCCAGCTCTGAAAKTATTCGACGCAGTACCCGCCGGGGGAAGCAGAGGAAGAGGAAGACCTCCACTCCGTTGRAAGGACCAAGTGGAGAVGGACCTGGCTTCACTTKGVATATCTAATTGGCGCCACGTAGCGAAAAGAAGAAACGACTGGCGCGCTRTTGTTAACTCGGCTATAATCGCGTAAGCGGTGTCTACGCCAATCAAGAAGAAGAATAATTTTTTTTTGGTTACTTTAGACGGTGGTAAGATAGTGAAACAAAATGGCCAAGCTCAGATAAATAAAATATTMCAAAATATACTTAGTTGTTTAACGATTGGCGCCTTGAAAAATAATCTTAAGAGCGTTATTGATGACATAATTTCTCAATTGCAGCAAGGAGTGGTATATAATAATTATAGCAAACCCTTATCATTACATTAAAGTTTATAGTAAGTAAGTAGAGGTACTTTTTTCAATAGCCTTTTTGACAGATCACGCATGAGTCCTGTCATTCTGTCTTGTTATTTTTGCTCAGTATTGTTTGGAATTTCATTAACGTACTATCACCAATCTTGAGAGCCAGAATTCATTACTGGATAATATTCGAGCAAATAGACCACATCCAGCACGCCGTGAAGAAAATATAGCAGCCGTAGCTGAGAGTCTACACAAAGACTGTAGTATCGGACTGACGTACGACATTGCGCATGATTTTACGTCGAGATCTCAAATTGAAAGAGTACTATATATACATATAGCTATATTTTAGTTTGTACGAGTCCAGTTTCCAATGGGTATATAAACAAGCAAAATTGCGGCATTTAGGATGAGGTCCCAAAGAGATTCAAGAACTGCCATTTTATCTAGAAAAAAAAACGATTTGGTGTTGTTTGTGGGTCGGTGGTATCATCGGTCCGTATTTCTTAAAAAATAATGCCGGCGAAACCGTAACCGTTAATTGCGACCATTATCGCACAATAATAATAGACTATTTAGTGCCTTAAATGCCATCATCACGCATCAAACAATGGATTTGTTGAGAGAACACTTCGGTGAGCAAATAATTTAATATTTTAGTCCGTTTGGCCACTAAGATCTGCTACAATGCAGTTACAAATTTTTCCAGTGGGAATATGTAAAATGTAAAGTCTAAGGATACTCCCGCTTCAATTCAGACTTTGGCGTGTCGTTAGCTAGTTACCAGTTAAAATGCTCGAACGAGTTATCAAAAGTCGGACACAACGGATGGATCACCTAAGACGTAGTCGCAACCAGCATTTGAAAAAGTAATCTTCAAAAAATAAATGATATACAATGTTTTTTCGAATTATAATAAACATTACCCCTTCAAAATGTTTTGTGTTTTTCTTAAACATAAAATTAGGAAATCTCAAAACAAATCAGCCTTTATTTCTTCTTGAAAAACACATGTGTCAAAAACACCCTTTTCATAGCCTAAAAAATGATGCCATTGGTGAAGTCGTGCTCCAAACAAAAATGTCTACAGTACTACACTGAAATAGAATACTGTTGTTGATCTCAAAGTGATAGTCTTGTTCTAAAAAATATTGTGAGAGTTCGGTTAACTTTGTTGGGTGACAGTTAAATGACATTTACTGAGTTAGCTTTATAAATGTCATCTCAGGAGAATGCGTAGGTTTTATCAGTCACGAATTTTAATAGACAAAAAATATGTGCATGCGATGCATTCTTGCATCAAAAATACAAATTTGTTCAACTTTCAGACACAATCATAATCTGATCAAACTTAATAAGAATTCCAACGGTGAACGCATACGTTAATTTTTATAATGTTCAAATGTTAAGCTATAAAAATAAGAAAAAAAATGAATCGTTTATAAAGCAAATAAAATATAAATAATAAGAAGCCGAATATAAACATACACTTATTACTTACTTACTTCTACTTGCCGTTTGAAGGTACACACAACCATCAGCATCACAAAAAAATCAAAACAATGAATTTTGTTTTTTTCATACATATTAAAATAAATTCATTTCAATTTAACATAAAAAAACTTTTTTGATTTTTTTATTTCATATAAAGAAATTAAATTTAAAAAAAAATTACTAATTCATGTGGAATGAAGTGTTCGTCGTTGTATAGTTTTTAATGGTATTTAAAAAGTCCAAATAAGCTAAGATCATTTGAGAAACTTAAATTCGGCTAGCGGCGATTAAAATAACTGTTTGCTAGTGAAACGCTAGGTTTCCAAACCTACAAAACTGCCGAATTCGTCATAAACGACGTTTTCACCACATTCTTCTTACACATCCGTATGAGCATGCATTCCTGCAGCTCTCATTTAGCGGTGTCACATAGTAATCAAATAACTGAACTGTTCTAGTTTGCTTATCTATCAGCTTATGGAGGGGTGCATTATCGGCTTCCTAATTCAAAATATTTTTAAAATTTCAACCAAAGTTTTTTAATTTGAAATTATTTATTATTTGTGGAATAACCGTTTTTCTTAACCACAGCTTCACATCTGCGTGGCAAGCTATATATCAAACTTTGGCATCTCACCAAAGGAATAGAGTTCTTTGCTTTCTCTACTCCTGCTCAAAGCTCGTTACAATTTTAAAATTTTGTTACGCCGAAGCCCAAACTTTAAATTTCCTTCACCGTGCTTTACGATATTTTTGTTATATCTTAGATTGACTTCTCGGTTTTTCTCTCGATGTACGAATGTTTTTCAATCAGAACCAAATCAAAAATTTTAATCTTTTTATCTGTGACTATGAGCGAATTCTAGACATGCTTTAATATTATTTTTCAACATTAGCAGTTTTTTCTGCAAACAAATTCCTTTCATTTGAACGCCTCTGCTCTAGTTATGCCACATACATATGTGAAACCAGCCCACATGAGTCACAAATACAAACCACAAAATTCCACAGGAAAGGTGGTCGTGACAACCAAAGCAGAGGGGGTGTATTATAAATGAAACAGCGAAACCACGCTGTCGCCCCGCTAAAACGGTACTTCTTCAAGTGACAACACGCAGACAACCAATCACAGCACTATCAACGGCTGATGCAATGATGAGGAACTTAGTCTTCTAACGAAATTCCCGAAACTGTATACCCATACACTCACACACGCATACCAATATCCACACACTATTAGGATGCGCCGACACGGCCATCCTGACCATTACACGACCCCGTGCAATTCTACCAAAAATGCTATGTTACGAGTATTATTCAATTAACTTAAAATATTTTATGCAAATGTAACTTCTAGTTTTTCATCTAAAGTTATAATTTCCATTGACAAATTACATCTTCATATTTCAGTTTCCTTCTTAACTAATATAAAATCTTTTTCCTTAACACAGCTCATTTTTATATTATTATTAACCACACAGGTTTGACATTATAATACCCAATGCGTCACACACCATGATCAAAGCAACTGTTTTGCACTTGTGCCCACATTATTATTACAAACATCATTAAAAGCCCTTAAGGCAACTGTATGGTCTCTTTGAACTTTCAACTTTCTTTATTACTGTCTCTTTCAAAAGTGTCAACTTGGTCTGATGTCTTTCTTCACTTTTAAGTAACACAAAATCTACAACTTTGTATCAAACTATTTTTGCCTTATTTTTATCAAATCGTTTTTTGTCATAAACTGCGGTGGCCAACACAATTCYTTGCAGCTTGCGCTCTTACGTTTGGCAGGTCAACAACATTTTCTATGTCACTAGGTGGAAGTAATCCTAATGGGCGTGCTATCTTTCCCAACAACATTTCTAAAGGACTTGCTTTCGTAATGGGTTGGTTGTACAATTGATTGCCAACTGCACCTTCACCGTTGGCATATTTTTAACGTGCTCATGGTTCGCTCCTCTTAAGCATTAGCTCGACTTGCACTAGTCGCTATTAAATGCAAGCTTATTTACTGATCTGAACAGAATGGACTGAATTTTGCGCCTGTAAAACACCTTCCCTGATCAGCTATTATTCGGTTTGGTACTCCAAACAATGAAATAGCGGATTGAACGGCTTTTATGCAACTCTCACTGTCTAATTTAACTATATTTGGTAAACGTGTCTACCTGAACAATAACATACTCCTTCTGGTCACTTTTGCGACTTCATTTTCTTGTTATATGTGGATTGTATGCCAAGGAGTAGTGACTTTTGGTATTGGATGCAATTCAGCCTGTATTTTCCCTGAGGTGGATTTTGACATTTTGCAAGTGATGCAGTTGTCAACAAATTTTTTAACGTATTTTGACATATTGTCAAACCAATAAGTCGTAAGTTTTATCCAATGTCTTATCAAAACCTAAATGCATGATTGACTCATGAACTTGGTATATAACAGCCTATCTGAAAGCTCGTGGCACCACTGGTAAACAACGTGTTCTGCCATTTCTCTGTATTTTCCGATGAATGAAGAAGTTCATAGGCTTTCGCAATATCTTCAGGCAGAGAAAACTCTTTTAATTTTTTTACAATTTCGACTATGTCCGAATCTCGACGCTGTTTGGCAATAAGCTAAAAATGCTAAATTTACTCTTTTCTCATTGAATAATTTTGTGGCCGAAGTAGACCTTGTTAAAGGAGGATTTCTCGATAAAAAGTCAACATGTGCCATTCTTTTCCTT